TGGTCACAGTGAGTTGCCATCATAAATGCAGTCGGTTGCCTTTTTTTTTTTTAAAGAAAATGAGAAGTTTGAATTAAAAAAGGTTCTAGAAAATGCTAGATGTCCTCTAGGAAATGAGGTGTCTCTATCTGACTTGGTGCAGCTGCTAATGCACATGGTGAGAAGTTCACAGTGTGCAGTGAAATTATGGTACAGAAGAGGAGCCGGTACAACTGTGCAAGAGTGAAGGGAAGGCCGAAGTTTATTTATTTCAGGTACTTATATAGCACCATCAATTTACACAGCGCTTTACATATATATTGTACATTCACATCAGTCTCTAACCCTCAAGGGGTGTACAATCGAAGGTCCCTAACTCACATCATACATACACATACTAGGGACAATTTAGACAGGAGACAATTAACCTACCAGCATGTCTTTGGACTGTAGGAGGAAATCAGAGTACCTGGAGGAAACCCAGACAGCCACAGGGAGAACATGCAAACTCCAGGCAGGTGGTGGCGTGGTTGGGATTTGAACCAACAACCCTAGTACTGCCAGGCAGAAGTGCTAACCATGCATACATACACATATACATAGCCACTGTGCTGCCCAGTTGAGCTTTAAGGCCAACCTGCTGCTTTTCTTGGAATGGACCTATCACTGGGTTAGCACTTCCACCTGGCAGTACTCGAACCAACGGCTGGGATACGAACCAATGACCCTAGTACTGCCAGGCGGAAGTGCTAACCCAGTTGAGCTTTAAGGCCAACCTGCTGCTTTTCTTGGAATGGACCTATCACGTGTTGACTTGCAGAGAGCTCCATGATAGGTGCTACTCTTCTTGGCTAGAGTAACCATCTACTACACACAAGGCAAAAAAAGTCCTGAGATGCATTTGGCATTCTTAATGTAATACACGTCTTTATGAGCATATTATCTGAAACATCAGAGAAATGCTTCTTAATAATGAGACAGATCTGCCCAACGTGATTAATTACATGCGTGTAATGACGCGGAAACTGATCTGAAAACTCTTCAAGGCATGACCAGAAATCTTACCTCTTCCTTATTTAATGGGGCAGAAAGTGCTCTTACTTGTCCCAAACTACAACCCGGCCATGAAGGAGATTAGGACAGTCATTAACCTGTGTGCTGCTGGAGGACGTAGAAAGACTCCTGCCAATGATAAACCAGACTAATGTATAACCGGCTTTTATGTGGAACAATTTCATGAACGTCACTATACCGCCTAAAGAGACCCTGTCACCAACTTAAAGTCACATTACACTCTGTTTTAAGCACTTTCAGTAGCTGACTTAATCACTTAGGCCTTGTTCATATAAATTTTATGTACTTATATAGCGCCATCAATTTACACAGCGCTTTACATATATATTGTGCAATCACATCAGTCCCTAACCCTCAAGGGGTGTACAATCTGAGGTCCCTAACTCACATTCATACATATACATACTAGGGACAATTGACCCCCGGTTCACATCTATGAGGCCGTGTTTTGCATGGGCACGAGAGCCCATTCATTTGAATGGACTCCCATGCCTGTGACACGCAGAGAAAGAAGCCCCTGCACTTCTTTGGAAAATGCAGCCCACACAGGAACCTTGGTCCCCAGTCTGGTTGCATTTTCCAGTGCAGGCAGCGTGCCAATAAAACTAATGGCACCCACCCGCAGGTCCAAATTTTTCTGTGCGGGTGCATGAATTTTTGTGTGGACCCGCAGCGGCACCACCCACACAGATGTGAACCTAGGGTAACACAGGATCCAATTAACCTACAAGCATGTCTTTGTGGCGTGTGGAAGGAAACCCACACAGGCACAGGGAAAAACAAACTCCAGGCAGGTGATACTGTGGCTGGGATTTGAACCAACAACCCTAGTACTGCCAGGCAGAAGTTCTAACTATTTAGCCACTGTGCTGTTTAGATAACTTGGCATCATGGGCATAACCACCACAATGTTGCACAAGATTTCAAATTGCAGCAAAGCATGCAACGCACGTTTGGTTGCCATTATTCATAATGACACCCTAACCGCGGTGCAATTCTAAGGCAATTGTCAGAATCATGGCAAAACATGGGATTAAAAAATGGTCCACGCTTGTCACCAAAAAAGGAGCAGGATCATCTTTTGGGCAACAAATGCACATAGAATAGCCCATTGACGTGAGTGGGCTGCCCTATGAGTGGCACATGGAAACACATGTAAATCACACTTTCAAGATCACAAGTTTGAACGCTTGTTCACACAATGTGATATCTAAATTGGGCCTTACCGCATATGCAGCTTTTTTATCTTTTAAAGTGTTACTAAACCCACAACAGTAAAATCAGTCTGTATATGCAGTAAAGCATGCTTGTTATACTCACTGTGGAACCTAAGGGGTTAATCCTGTGTATTGTGTAAAAAGGCTGTTAGATCCTGTCATCCCTGATCCTCCCCTTCTTCTAATGTCCCAAATCCATCTGCTGATAGTACAGAGTTCTAGGAGTCACTCTGCACATGCTCAGTTTGGCGTGTATTGCTAGAGAGTTTTTTTTTTCCTTGGGAGAGTGCATGTGATCAGCACAGGGCCAATCAGCACTGTCCAGACAAGGGTTATGCAGCCTCATAGGACAATCAGGGGAGAATGAAAACTCTTCCTACAAGCTTTAACCAGTGCTCTGCTGGACACTGACAGAAGTCAAATAACTGATCTAACTGCTGATAAGTATATTAGTTTAGGTATTTAGCAGTTTATATTTACTAAAATAATTGAATTTCCATGTTCTGTGTGTTCTGTTGAGACCAGATATAGTGAATGCAGAGTGCTAGGTTTAGTAACACTTTAATCCTTGCCAATGTTCCATTTTAGAACCACTGCCCCAGGTTTCCAGTTTCAGGGTGGCTCCTCTACTCTTGCAAAATCCTGGGAGCCACCCAGGAGTTGTGTCTCTTTCCACTGTGTGCATCAACAGAAACTCACAGCCCCGTAGCCTAGAATAGCAAGATATTCCCCTGCTCCCCCTTTCTCCAAGCTAAAAGACTGGCTGGAGACGGCACTGTCCACTGTTGACTCTTTTTGTGAATACAGGAAGCTCAGGAAAGCAGCACTGACAGAGCAGTAGCCAGCAGCACTGAAAGTTCTAAAGTAGGAGTTTTAACAAATAGTTTACTGAAGAATGTTTATTTTATTGTGCTCAATGTACTAAAATAAAAATGCTGAGAGTTTATTATTACTTTATCAAAATGCAGGTAAATGCACAGAAACACAAGTATTTGAAATGCTGACTTGCAGCATTTTTTTTTCCTTATATATGATCCTTATATGATTTTGTATTCACATGAAATGTGCCTTTAAATGTGCTAGAAAATTTGACTACTCCAGGAAGAGTCAATTGTCTAGCACGACCCACTCCCTCCTTGAACATCATAGCCCGCTCCTCTTCTGAGAGTGTCTACTTGCTCTTCAGTGCTGACCCAGCTCCTTTGCCACTCCCATCACATTCCTAAATAACCTTTTATGTAGCTACCAGGGGGAGGACTATAGGGGAATGCTGTGCGGAGACATTTAAGATTTTAGATGTGAACCTAGCCTGCTTAAAAACAATCCTTGACGCTTTTGAGAAATCGCATCACACCTAAACGCATTTGTTTGCAGATGAAAGAGAATGCCATTAAGTATTAAATTAGGACTCTGCAAAAGGGCCGTGCATTGCGAAGGAGGAGGAGGGAAGTTATGAGGAGAGTTAGCAGCTATAGTGCAGGGTAAGGGGGCCCTTTCAGGTGGGCTGTACGGGGCCCCATCATTTCTACACAAAGGAAACGTTTCTACCAGTTGTAGAGAAGTTGGTTTTCAAGTTGGCAGAAATTACATTTTACATTTAATGGCTCTAACAAAAGTACAAAAAATCCTTCCTAGAACTTTACTTTTAGTGCCATCTTTCCGCTTTGCCATCTTTTCCATTTGCGCACTCCAAAAACAGAGCTCCAGAGCAGGCACTACAGAGCCTACGGACATTTGAGCAAACTCTGACTTTATTTTGTGAAAACAGATGTATTTTACAATAAAACTAAGAAGGATTAGAGGCGCGGTCATTACTTTGCCTTCTCAGTCCTATCTACTGGCCGCCCGGCGCATTCCATCTATTCGCCATCGGAGCGTGCAGCCACAGACTGTCTGATTAGACAGAATTTGTTTGGTAATTATCCAGAGCTTGGTGTACAGGAGAAATAAATCTGTGTAATTTCAACAGGAGATGACTGTAACAGTTAAGTTAGAGATCCCAGAATGTGTAGGTTGCGTGTTTAGGTTACGTCCGTGGTGCAAAACCGTATTTTGAAAAAGTTCACCAACAGAACGGGAGGCAATCATTTCACTTGTATTTTACAAATCAGTTCAACATCATGTCATCAGATCATGCAAGGATCATTTACACCTCTTTGGGAAGATGAAAGATAGGCCGAGAACGTTGCTTTCTTAACCTCCCTGGCGGTATGATTAGTTCAGATTTTTGGTGCTGAAAGCGGTACCATTTTTTTGCATGGAAATATGGTTTTTTTTTGTAATTGTAGACCTGTAATTTTTAGGAATAACTCACTGAAATCTGTCCGAACAAGAGTCTAGTAAACATCCCGGGTAGGATAAAATTTGAAACACAAAATCACAAATTATAATTTAATAAATAATCATAAAAATAATAATATAATAATAATAAAGTTAATTTAATAATATAATCAAACCAAAAACACTGAAATTTGAAATATAGCGCCAAGTTCCCACATCACTGAGTAAAGTCGCAAAATCGTTTTCACTGTTTGATGACGAATTTCCCCACAAATCATTATCACTCAATTCTGCAAGTGGTTCTGATTTACTATCGCTGTTCTCTAGCTGGTCTAAAACCGCTTTTGACCTAAAGTGATGCTTTTTGGACGCCATGGACTTTTCTCAGTTTCCAGGCAATAAGAACAGTAAAAATGCAGGCAGGACGCCGGACAAAGTACTAGGGACAAAATGTATGTGAAATGGTTTGATACAGTAATGGAATACTATGTGATTTTAGTGATTTTAGTGAATGTCACTTTTTGTCATTTTTGAATTTCCCGCCGTTCCGTCCCCCGTACATCCCGACGCTCACAGGGGACGGAACCCAGATGACAGATGCCGGCATCCGCCGGATTACATTGCCGGGGACACTGCAGGAGGGACATCGTGGGAGCGCAGGACAAGGTAAGTGATACAGGGATCGTGGAGCAGCGCCACATGGTATTCCCGAGTGTAGCTCGGGGTTACCGCTTGTGGTACTGAAACCTTACCCCGAGCTACACTCGGGAATACCGCCAGGGAGGTTAATAACTGTAGTAAAGGAAGAATTATGATGAATCAGTAGGAAAGTTTTGAGGAGGAATTTTTGTTGTTACTTTTCCAGGCAAACCAATAAGTAAATTATTGAAAATATATGTATATTTACACTGTGTGCACAAATATTAGACAAGTGAAAATTTTGACCATATCATCATTTTTATACATATTGTCCAACTCCAAGCTGTGTAAACCTGAATGCTTATTGGATTTAGGCATATCAGGCGATGTGTATTTCTGTAATGAGGGCGGGTGTGGCCTAAGGAGATCGACACCCTCCAGTATATCAAGGTGTGCATAATCATTAGGCCGCTTCTTTTCCTCATTCAAAATAGGCCAAAAAAAAGATTTAACTGACTCTGAAAAGTCAAAAATTGTAAAAGGTCTTTCAGAGGGATGCAGCACACTTGAAATTGCTAAGATATTAGAGCTTGATAACAGTACCATCAAATGCTTTGTTGCAAATAGTCAACAGGATCGCAAGAAACGTGTTGAGAAAAAAAAAGACGCAAATTAACTAAGATTTGAGAAGAATGAAACGCAAAGCTACCAGGAACCCATATTCTCCAGTGCTGTCATATTCCAGAACTGCAATCTACCTGGAACACCCAGAAGTACAAGGTGTTCAGTGCTCAGAGATATGGCCAAAGTAAGGTAGGCTGAAACCTGACCACCGCTGAACAAGACACATAAGTTGAAATGTCAAGACTGGGCCAAGAAATATCTGAAAACAGATTTTTCAAAGGTTTTATGAACTGATGAGATGAGGGTGGCTCTTCATGGACCAAATAGATGGGCCCGTGGCTGGAACAGTAACAGGCACAGAGCTCCGCTCTGACTCAGATGCAAGCAAGGTGGAGGATGGTACCTGTATGGGCAGGTATTATTAAAGATGAGCTAATTGGACCTTTTCAGGTTGAAGATGGACTCAACTCTCAAACCTACTGCCAGGTTTTAGAAGACACTTTCTTCAAGCAGTGTTACAGGAAAAAGTCTGCATCTTTCAAGAAGACCATGATATTTATGCAGGACAATGCTCCATCGCATGCATCAAAGTACTCCACTGCATAGCTAGCCAGTAAAGGCTTTAAAAGATGAAAGAATAATCACATGGCTCCATTCCTCGCCTGACCTAAACCCTATTGAGGGTCCTAATTAAACGGGAAATTTACGGTGAAGGTGTCTGGGAGGCTATGGTTGCTGCTGCACAAAAAGTTGATCGTCAACAGATCAAGAAACTGATGACTCCATGAATGGATGGCTTATGACTGTTATTGAAAAGAAGGGTGGCTATATTGGTCACTGATTTTTTTTTTTATGTAAGAAATGTTTATTTGTAAATTTGGAGTTGTTTGTTTATTATTGTCACGTTAGCAGATGAAAATAAACAAGTGAGATGGGAAAATGTTCGTCTTTCATTTAGTTGTATAATCAATCTGCACACTAATAGTTGCCCAATAATTGTGCACACATAGATGTTCTCCTACGAAAGCTAAAACCTCACTTTCTTAAATATTCTGGTTTGAGGTTTATTAGCATTTTGGATTGACCAAAAGCACTGTATTTGTTCAATAATTAAATTTATCCTCAAAATACAACTTGCCTAATAATTGTGGACACAGTGTATTTATTTACTTAGTTTTAAGACTTTAAATTTTGTTGGGCCATTCTGGTTCCTTTCTGTGTCACCTTTCTGCCTCCAGCTTCCTCATTGGTCAGGGAGTCAGCATCATCACCTCTGTCCAATGAACAGGGAGCTGAGTGCTTCAACGGTATGGCTCACTAAAATTACATGGAATGATTGCTATATTATGCATTTGATGCAGAAGAAAGAAGCAGCCACACACCAGCAACTTGCCCCAGGTGTCGGCGATAAACTGAGGTGACCTCGATCACAGACTCCATGCATAAACAATGAGCCACAACACACGGGGGGGGGGGGGGGGGTCACTGATATCCACATTTTGTATCGGACAGCCACAGGCACTGCAATGACAGTCCCCATTCTAGAACCGCACCCTCAAACGTTTCACTCAACAGGACTTAGTCATGATCTCTCCTTACTGCTCTCTCCTCCTATGAGCATGTCTTTTGTTAGCACATGAGCACTGCAGAAGAACTGACTGACTCTTGGTGCTGTTTCTCTCTAGTTTGAGCTCTGCTGTACAGTATATGGCTGAAGCCAAGTCAAATTCAATTGAAAGATGTAAATTTAAAGATGAAAAGATTAATACAGAATTGCAACTGGTGTTCTTTATCTGCCTGGAGTTTAACTTTTAGCAACATTATCCAATGCAGTCGTGACTATTCCAGAATATGAAAAAAAGTAGAAAAAGTGTAATGAAATGCTGGCCGAATAGTAACCAGAATGAACGGTTTTCATAGGCGATTAAAGTCCTTTTCATCATTCTGGTGTCCAATCAGTCCTCCCGCTAGTTCCAGCCTTAGAATTGTGCCCGGATATGTCATTTCACGTTCTTTAATATTAAAATTCCTCCAATGATAACTCCTTTTTCTCAAGGCTAAACTGCCTTGCCTCAGTTGTACAGGCCCCAGATCAAAAATTTTGCCTGCGACTCTGTATAGAAAAATCAAGCAATTAATGCAACGTTCAGGAGAGTCGACTGTGAGCTTTCTCTTTTATCAAGACTCCCACCACATATACACTGTCAACATGCTGTGAGCCTTTATTAAAATAGGAGAAAGAGCAAAGGATCCAGCTGGCCTGAGAACAGCAAACATCACTAGCTAAATCTACCCGATGGTACAGCATGAAATATGATTACCGTTCATGAATCGAATGTCAGCAATTGGCTTGACAGAGGCCGACGGTATGTGCCAAAGATGAGGACAGAACAGCACTAAGAGGAGCCATTATCACACCATCTTGTCTGTTTTTTTTTCTATCACATCCATGATAATCCAGGGGTTGCAGAGAAGAGCAATTCTTAAAACAATTCTTTTGGGGGAAAAAAACTAAAAAATAGAAACCTTAAAAATAAAAAGATCTTCGACCTCTTCCAGAGCTACACCGGGCACAGAAATTTCAGAATCCGGTATGGTTTTAAGTGTGCTGGTTGCCATGCAAGTTTGCTGTGGGTCCTTCCGCCAGCTCCTATATCACTACAGCTCTGTAGGGACACAGTATTAGAGGAGAAGCTGGAGGGTGGAACCACAGAGTGCTTCTGAGGTGCAAACATCCAACATCCCTGGAAGAGTGTCAAAAGCTGAACAATCTTCCTCAAGTGTTCAGATTTAGGATATAATGGTCCATGGAGGTCCAAGGAATCTGGCCACAAAAGGCTGGTTAAAGACCCATAAGGCAACTCTGGGTGCCCACCGAAAAAGAAAAAAGGAAGCGGGAAGTATAGTGTAGTAAGTAACTCAAGAATATTGTAAGCTCGAAAGAGCAGGGCCCTCGATCCCCTCATGTTTTGCATTGTATTGGTATTGTTCTGTCACATGTTCTGTCCCCCTTTGTAATGTACAGCGCTGAGTGAACTATTGGCGCTTTATAAATACTGTATAATAATAATAATAATAATATTGATTCTTTCAAAAAATATGTATCAGTAGGATGAAAAAGAAAAAATTTGCATCTGCTGAGGTTATAGTAACCTGTAATGTAGAAACATGTAACCCTCTGTAAGCACAGGTAAACACCTTGTCCCAATGCAGGATTATAAAGATCACTGTGGATCCCGGGGGGGGGGGGGGGGGGGGTGTCTCCAAATCCTGGAAAGCTCTCAGGTTCTGCTCTACAGGAGACCACAACTTAGAGGTAGAGGGGCCAGTGGTACATGTCTGTTTTAAATTTTTCTTTTGCTGGCATCAGAATCACTTTAACTCCCAACTTCGACCACAATTGTTTTTTTTTTTTGTTTTGTTTTGAATCAAGTTGTAAGAGTAGGAACCCCTATCAGTTTTTTAATTCTGTATGTGATCCCACTGGGGATATTTTCCACTATGTGTCTCAGGGGCCACCAGGACCAGAAATGAGAGAAACTGGGTCACTGAGGCAGGCCGCCAGGCTATTTTTACGATTTCCAAAGCTACTGATTCTATTCCTATGACCAGGAAGCATCCAGAGTTGGGTGAGTTTAATGTCAAGGAGTGAATGCAGAAGCTGCCTTGGCCTCGGCTTACAGAAAAGCTGGCCAGCGCCAATGATTAGTAACTCTGAATTCCATATACATCACAAGGCTGCAGACAGTTATTTTCAATTATTAATGTATGGGAAAATTGATAAAATTGTCCTTAGTAACTAATCAACGTCTTCTTTTTCTAACTGATTACAGATACACAATGTAACTTAGCTTAGCTATAGAGGAAATTATTTTAATAACAAACAGGGGTAGTAGATCTTTTCTGTTAATGTAGATCACTCTTTCTCAACCTTTGTACCCCAGAGGAACCCTAAATAATTTTCATGTACCCCTGCTAAAACCAAGTCATTGGTGGCCAGTGAGAAGAATGCCCCATCAAAAAGAAGGTCAAATAGTTAACAACTCAAGAAATAACCAATAACCTCCTGGAGAAACACTTAGGTTCCTAGGAATCATGGTTGAAAATGGCTACTGTATACATGAAAATATATCCTTCAGGCTACTTATGATCCATATTTGTGTAGCAAGAGACGGGAAACTTGGGGGGGGGGGGGGGGGCTTGAAAAAATAATCTTATTCCTTTTTCCTGCTTTCCAAAGTCTGGATGTATTATTACAGCAGAGATTTGACTGATGTCCTGTCTGATACTATGGACATGATGCAGCCTACTGTTTTACTATGGCCTAGTGATCTCACTCAATAAGTTCAGTTCACAAAGCCAATGATGGTCATACACATAACGATTTGTGATACAGCAATCACAAATAAGTGGTCCAACATCAATAAAAATATGGAACAATGTAAGGAATATGGCTTTGCTTTGCAGATATTTTGTATGATCAATCAAAAGCAATCATCAACATTATGCCACAGCCAATCAAC